TATATATATATATATATATATATATATATATATATATATATTAAAAAAATTAGAATTCAGAAAAATAAAATTTATGTTTACTGCATTGGAACTCTTTGCATATTGATTTTAAAATAAATTTAAAGATTCTGTTAAGCCGCTCATCCTTTTGAAAAAAAATTGTTTTAACCCAACATGAGCAACCTGCTACGAGGGTAGTACAGCCAAGTTTCACTGGAAGCAGAAATAGTCCCACCTATTTAATTCCCAAAGGGAACATCATCCCAGAGGTGGCTCGGCTTCCTTCAAATCCCTCCGTCCAGCGACGCCAGCCCCCCCCCTCTCTCTCTCTCTCTCTCTCCCCCCTCATTCCAGTTTTTGGTCGAAAAAGTTGAAAATGGAAGCCTCTCCTTCTTCCTCGAACTCGAATACTGCGAGTGTCTTCCACCTCCGAAACACAGCCTTGGATGAATCTTATCGGTCTCTCCCATCGCTATATCTTGGATTTCTGGCGATTTGGTGCTTCTTTACAGTCTCCTGGGCTGTCAACACTTGGAGAAATCGGCATTTTCAGGTTCGTAACCTCCTTTCCGAACATATATCTTAGGTTAGATTTTGACAGTGATACGTGATTGGCACCTGAATGATTACCTTTTGTAGCATAAATTGTTTGGTAATTTGTATTGCAGAAGTTTTTGGTTTATTTTTTTTCCCTAGCTCATTTCTTGCGCTATAGATTCTAGGGAGTGATTTTGGTCAAAATGATTAGCTTGGATTTTTATGGCTCTTTTCTTGTTTCAGATCAACAATCTGCAATGTGTTATGGCGGCTGTTCCTCTGATCAAGGCCGTGCAGCTAGGATTATCCTTTTCATTTTGGTGAGTAGCTTCCTGGAGTGAATGTTAGTCGATACTTGAGTTGCTTGATGCATTAATTGTTCTCTCGTTTCATTAATTTTGATTTAAATTAGTCCCGCGTTTTCATAGAAGTTCGGAAACCATTATGCTGATTAACTTGTTGATTGGTAACACACTAAAAGATTAACAGTCATGCAGGCAATGATCAATGAATTTAGTTTCATACTGTAAATAGAAAAAGGAATTTTCAATCATATTATGGAAACAAATTTTTTTAGCTTTTATACGTAACGATATTCTCCGGCTGAATCTACTGGACCAGGTATGTGCTAAAAGGCTAATGATGATGAATAGTGGATTCTTTCAAATTATTGTATCTTGATTTGAGCCCGGGCTTGGTTTGTACTCAATAGACTGGTGGGTCAGAGGTGCCAAACCCCCAATTAGTGCACAAAATATCCCTAGAAATTTTTTATGACTGAACAACAATATGCTAATTTTTTTTTGGTTCGAATTAAACAAAGTTGATCGGTGTTCACAGATGCCATTAAATAAGGTTCATATTCTTTGTTATCATTTTTATTTGATATATTTAATATTTTCGTTGATATTGTATTGATCAAGTAAAAGTTGTTACATATAATGATTAATCAGAGTTTACACTGTAGCTACTCTCGACGGGTTTCTAGCATAATTTTGTTCTTATAACTTGAAACATGCAAGTTCTTTTAACATCTGAAAGCAGGAATATATATATTGAGAACGGATATATATATATATATATATATATATATACATAATTTTCAGTAACTGAAAAAAATCAAAGCATAATTTTCCTTAATGCTATTTAAATTGCTTCCTTGTTATCAGAATTCTGTAATTAATGCCTCATGCAGGTATTCGTGCACTAAACTTCAGATCTGTTCTTTGTGGATGTCTTTTGGAGTCTATGTAACTGGTATACTCTTCCAAACAGCATCATTTATGTCGTTTATGCTTATATCACATGGTTACTGCATCATGTATGAGCGTCTTTCTGTTTTTGAACGGCGCTTGACTGCGGCATTTGGTTGTGGTCTATATTTGACTCTTGTTGGCTACAAAGCTGCCATTCCTTACTTCACAGTAAGTTGCTACTCTGTCCGTTTTCTACTTCTAGCACCAACAACCTCTTCATCTGTTTAATCTCCATTTTTATAAGACTATTAGTAAAGCTCATTGCAATTAATTATTTGTTTGACTATTTCTTGTTGTTTCACCACTTTCTTATAGATTGGACTTGATGTTATTTGCAGGTATTTGCTCTGTTCAACTATTTTCTATCTTTTTATTTGATCTTTCGCCGCATTTCTCAAAATCTCCTAGTTTTGCGGGAACAGTTAAATTCTATAGAGTATGAGAATGTTCAAAGCATGCACAATACTCTGCGCATGAAGTACACTATGTTCAAGTATGTGGTATAAATTTAGTGCAGCAAATTTTCAATATCCAAGAAGTTTTTTTTTCCTTGATTATTTTGATGCTGTACTGTTGATATTGAAACTTTTCAACTAATCAGGAAGTTCCAAGGCACAATGCAAATTTTAGCTGTTGTTGAATTTCTGGTAAGAAATGCTTAGTTTTCATCATTATTTTTAATGATTTTGAAAGTCTTCAAGCAATACTAAAACCTTAAGATTCAGGTCTATGTTAATGTTGCCGAAGCACCAAATAATTACTGGTTACGTTTATTAGTTCGGGAATCTGCACAATTCTGCATTTTCCTTTACATTGGGTATGCTTGTTGCTTCCTTTGAGCGCTCTATTCTCTAATATCTATGGTCAAAGGCATCTATTAACTTTTTCTTTTCAACTGAGAGTTATTCGTTGATAATTATTTTCCAAAATCATAGAAACAGAGAAATTTTATGATTATTTGGGTTTTCCTTACGATAGGTTCTTTATGATGCTTTTGAACTTGCATAGTTACTCTGGCATAATTACTTCAACTTCTGTTCAGGTGGACTTTCAGCGCATTAGGAGCATCATCCCATTTCTCTGTTATGCCTACCATGAAGTCCAAATGGGAGATGAAACTGCCCCCCGTGTATAGCATCGTATGGTACCTATCCTTTATCAATATCAATTGTTTTCATTAACTGTTGAATGAGGTCCAACCTCAATAGTACATTTAACCTTCATTTGAGACAGCTTTTTTGCTGCTTTCTAAAATAGCTTTCTAATACAAAAATTTTTGTACTAAAAAATCGTTTTAGAAAACAATAAAAAAACTGTCGCAAATGAATGCTTAGTTTTAATGTTTATTTATATTGCTATATTGAAATTGTAGACTAATTATAATTTATAATACTCTATTTTTTACTTGAAGGCAACCTTATCTTATATAAATTAAAATATATTGAGCTTCAAACCTTTCCTATTAAAGTTGAAGTGGACTTTCAGATTAGCACAGAGCCATGAATCATATATTGATAAACAGTGGCGGAGCCAGAAAATATCTCTAGGGGGGGCCTAAAATTTTTTTTATTATATTATTATTTTTCTTCAATTTTTTACATCCAGACTTAGGACCAATATAATCAATATTAAAAGCATGTGCATTTAAACAGTAGTGTTTTTGCATAGATTAGTGGGCTATAAGATAAAGGATTATATTGTCAATGTTTAAACTTATGCTGATGGCTAATTGGCATACTGTTCTACTACTTAGCAAGTTAGCATATTTGCCATATTATAGAAATTTTGGGAAAAAACGTTATAGATTCTATTTATGTTATAAAACATTTCAACCAGGAATCAGCTTTAATGACCATAAACAAATTTGTTTTGGATAAATTCAGCATTTTATTAATTTATGTTAAGGCAAATTGACTAAAATGTTAGGTTTCTGTTATAATTTTTGTTCATTTAGGAAATGGACGCTGCTGATTTCAATGATCTGGCGTCTAGAGACTGGCAGTTTGGTGTGGTAAGTTACCTAAACTGTACTCTATTTAATTCACGAACATTTTAGAAAAAGTCCTGTCAACCGCTTTTACCTAATGCTGGCATTATATGTTGACCGCGTGTTGCATATTTTCAGCCAACTTCTCATCCAGCACAGTTCAAAAGCTCCGTTGATCCATTGCTGGTTTTAGTTCAAAATCCTCGTTATGTAAGCAAAGTAACTTCAGATTTTCTCATGAGGTCAAAAATCCCAACATATTACACTCCTGCTGTGGAGCCTCTTGATGATGGCCATCAGGTTTAGTTTCAAAGATGAGGATATGGAGCTGAGTACAACGAACTCGGTGAACCTGCGTATGATTTAGAAAAGCCTTAACAAAGTGTGGAAACTGTACTTTAACCTGTTCATTCTTCTGTCATATATATATATATATATATATCTGTTCAAGCTATTATTTTGAGTAAAAAAGACAATGTAACACTTGTACATATAATGCAGCCTCTTATTCATTTTTAGGCTTAGTTTGAGATGACTTTCTTACTGCTTATTAAAGCAATTTTTTAGTGTAAAAAATTTAAAATGTTTTTTTTAAAAAGCAATGAAAAAGTCATCCCAAATGAAAGCATGAGTTTAAATTGTTTAGTAATTTTCTTTTGCAAATTCTTCCTTCCTAGAATGATCTTGTAAATTTCATATCAGGACTAATTTGAGGGAAATGTTTTGCATCCAATTTCTTCAAAAATTCATGTAATTTGTCTTCATGTAATGCATCAGAGAAGTTTAACTCGTCATGATTTTGTGTGCTTTGCCAGTCAAACTGAAATTTCTGTGATTTAGAAGAATATAGGAGATTTTTTATGCATATCACAAAATTTTTATACATTTACATACTTATTATTTATATATTCAATACTTAATTCTCCAATTAACATAAAAGATGCCACCAAAATTTATTATTTTTGAAGAAAATACATTTTTTTCATAAAACTATTTGTCTAATTAAGACACTATGTGATATATAAATATTTAGGTGTTAAATATATGCATACATAACTATTTCATCATGTGTAAATACCCCTATTTTATGTTACAAATTTCATATTCATGCATACCACTTAAATAGTTTAAATCGAAGGCTTCTTTTCTTATGCACGTACCTTCTAATGTTATCTGCTATTAAAATAACAGGTAGAAGAATGACAGATAATACTGGGTTATAAAAAACGAGTTCAATTAGTGTTTTATTGCTGTCGAGTACTGGTTGAACATCATGTTTCTTACCTAACAAATAAATAAGTAAATTGCTCCCACAAGATCAAATGCTCATAAGTTACATGCCTTTGGCAACCATAAAGTAAGAATGCGAACGTTTATGTGAATGATATATTCGATTAAAATTTTGACCTCTTGTGTTTTATGATGATTTCATCATCACTGTCACTATAATCGACTCTTTTCTTTGCTTTTGAGTCGCTGTTCTTCGATAGTTGCGACTTGGAGCTTTCTGGCCTGTCAGACTTTTGAGATTTAATTGGAGTTCCTGTTCGCAGCTGATGTTGCTTCCTTTGCTTTCTTTCGTATGCCTTCTTGGCTCTATCAGGAGACAGCATGCCATGTTCCATCATCCTGTGTGTCAATGGAAAAATTCCATAACATATATTGTCTTTGGGCAGTAGTCAGAAAATCTTTTATCTCAAGCAACAAGTGCACACAATATTCATACATCATTGGTTTCAATAAAATGATTCATTAAAAAAAGATATAGACAATTTTTACATATAGTGACCACCACTGTTGACCGCCTCCTGTCATCTGGTCACCAACTCCGGACAGTAACGGCCACCGCCGCTGCTGCTCCGCTGGTGACTCCCAAGAATCACACAAATCAATTGATTTAATATTCAATAAAAGTAAAATTATATTTTAAGATATAAAATATGTTTTATCTAAACATTTCTATATCTTCAAAAAGTCGTATCATTTTTTAGCTCTTTCAAATGCTTCATGTTGAACAAAAGAAGGCCGAACAGCTGAACCAGATAAATGGCTGGTTAATTTACATTAACAAACTCCATGCGAATTTTGACTTCAAAATAACCCAACACCTGATGCAAGGTTTGAAGCTTGCTTTAGTCAAAACAAAATATTCCCAAACAAAGCCTTAATCTTAAGGACAGCTTAAGACTGACTCAACATGAAAAAAAAAAAAACAACTATGGTACCTTGTGGAACCACTAATTATCTAATCCAGTTAAGTACACCACAGGGCATTATAATCGAACTTAAGAAATAACATTTGCCTAACAGAGATGCAGTGGTTACCAAGAAGAGAGGTGAAATAGTCACTGTGGTTATTGTTGAATACTTGTTATCTTCATGTTACTATCACATCTTAATTCATCAGTATTTTTGCAACTAAATGAAGGTCAAATGTAATTAATTTGGTATTACGAATAAAAACATATGCTATGCTAATGTAGTAGTATTGGCAAATTACTTGAGAATTTACACTTTATAATGTAGGACATGGCCCCACCTTTCATTATGGTGTAATGAAGCAGTCAAAATTTTTACTTGTTCCACTTTTATAATTACCAAGGCCAACAACAAGCTGTTTACAAATATAAAGTTTACTTAAAAATGATATATAAATTGTAGAATATTCATATCACCACACATATATATTCGAACTACTATCGAGCAGAACACAATTGAGCAGAATATTATTCATATTTGTCTTATTAAATAAATGAATTTATAAAAATTAATGAAATTCGTCCTAATTATCGGGATGAACATGAATAACTTGCTTTTTTTTTATAGCCCTATTTTCATTGAAAAAAAAGGCACAATCATGAATGCAAAATTCTATACCAGGATACTTGGCTTATGTTTTTCAACTTTTTATTGATACCAGGATGCAAAATTTTATCTTCTCAGTCACAATTTCTAGTATGTACTCCCACAAGAAGCATTTCCAAAGCAAATCATTAGAAAAAATCGTAAAAAGCTGCCCAAAATTTCCTTCTAAACATATCCAATTTTACCCTATATCACAAAAGAAGACAGCATAAACCAAATAAAGAGTCAAAATACGAGTCAAAAAACACGTGTCATTATTATGTTACCAAAAAATTCTATGACTTGATTCTCTTAAATATTCAACAAAGAAAAATATGGGCTAACTATATGAATTAGTGTGTTAGGGGTAAAAAAGTCATTGATAGTTAAGTTATTCTTAGAGAATGCTGAAATGAATGTGGCAAAATTAAGGAAATGTATTAAAGGAAGAGTAGGAGTATTAGATTCAAATTTATCTGAGTGACATAAAGACCTTGCTGACAAGTAAAAACTAAGCGTAAGAGAGAAAGAGAGTTTAGAGAGAGATGCATTGAGAATCACACTAGATTGGTGTCAGAAAAGAACAAATTGATATCAGAATATAAATTGATTGTGAGACTCATTCTTTTACCCTCTATTTATAAGTTTATGTCGAGGTCTAATGTTACGGGGAAGGCTACATTCGAGTTTTACAAGTAAACTTACATAACAATACTAAATAAGTGAATGATGAAAAATGAAAACATTTAACTAACTTACAGATATCAAAGTACCCAGACAATCCTTGATGAGTTCCAAATAAAGGACGAGAGCTTTTGAGAATGATTCCTGGATAAAGTATACAATGGTCTTTAAAGTTGTGAGTATCTTTTGCAGATTCAGAATATATGTTATTTCCTTTTTCATAATAGTTTCTCAAATAAGCATCAGTATTCCATCATTTCTTCTCTTTAAACACACAATCTTTCATTCTCTAATATGTTGCCCTAACATTCTTCAACCCAAACGATAAGATGTTGTAGCAGTACAATTTATTGTCAATTATAAAAAAAAAAAAAAAAAAGTTCTCGCAATCAATATGATGTATTTTTATCTGATAATAACTAGAGAAGATTTTAAGAGCTCATCATAGAGAAGCCAAGTGCTAAGTTTTTTTATTTATTATTTTTATTTTTTAATTTTTTATATTTTATGCCAAATGCTAAGTTGACAAATGCATCAATTCTTGGAAGTGAATAGTTATCAGTTGCGTAAGCTAAGTTCAAATTAGTGACATTCACACACATTCTCCATTTTCGAATTGATTTTTGTATCATTACCATATTAGAAATCCATTTTGGGCACTACAATTCCCAGATGAAACTGACATACAATAGATATTAGACATCCCAATGAATGGGTTCAGTTGGAATTGCTACAACTAGCTGAATTCTTTGCTTGCATATCATTGCTGACTTATTAATATTAATTCTGTAACAAGCAACATTGATGTTTACTTCTAGCATGGTTTCAGACTTGGAGTGGAGGGTATTGAAGAGTTCATATTTATTCTCTATATTAACTAACAAGCTGATTCTAAGAGCGTGAGTTTGGTCATATTCTGAGATGGCTATTCCTCTACTACTTAAGAGATCTCGAGTCTAGCCCCTCTCTAAACCTTGAGTTGCATGACCTCTTCCTAAATGCTTCCAACAACCTTTTAGATAATATGCCCGAGATTGCAACAATTTCTATAAAAAGTTAATGTCCATCCTCTCATCGAGAAATTCACAACATGATACATTAACACTACTGCTTCAAACTTGTTAAATTGTCAGCCAAATAGTTGTTTCAAGTCATTTTGATGCATCAACTATGATAAAGTTAGCCATTCCAATGAACTATCATTCTCCTCCCTACGTGATTGTTAGTGGAATTGCTCCTTCTATTTCCTTGTTCAAAAATAGAAATCATAAACTAGCCCAATAATGGATGTCAAATTGGAAGGATCTAAATTTATTTAGCTGAGAACACTTTTAAAAGTAATATTGACTAAAAATAATGCAAATTTGATAATTAAAGATCAGCATTGTGGACATAATCGCATCATTGAAGGGTATGTTGATGTTGATGTTGCTAATGGTGTGGTTTCTCTACCGAGTTCTTCAAATTATTCTTTAGTCAATTTCGTTAGTCGCTAGGAAGTCTTCAAAAATTCCCTACTTAAATGAAGTCATGTGATCGAGATGATGATGATGAACAGAAGTAATCGACATGTGATTATATTCCTCCACATTTATTTGGCAATTTAAAACAGCTAACTGTTTATGAGTTCAATTTCATCTAAAAACACATCATAAATTCTAAGAAGAAAACCAGCCTAGTATGTAGTTTTCTTATATTTCTTTCATTTTTTTTTACTTGGGATACTTTTATTAAAACATAGAACTAGTTCAAACATATGGCAATGCTTACTATAGTTTAAATAAGATTCATCTAGCATACATGCTTAGTCTAGCACAGATGTAGTCAGTGTTGTTTGGAAGATGCTCAAATCTATCATGATGTGTGGCATCGGGTATTATTTCCTATGCTAATCCTTTTTATTAATAGGAATGCCTTTAGTTTCTAAAAAAATAGATTACAGTGGTAGTTTTTTTTTTTTTATTCATTTGATGCCCTTCATGAAGGGATAGCAGAAATAATGGAAAAACTAATCCAAGACAACAAGAAATGATGTTCGTGTTCATTCGTGAAGGCATTTGTGGGCTCTACAAATAAATATCTTAAAGCTCTGAACCGGTTATATGTAGGTTAATCAACCATTCATAATAATGGTCCTGGTATTAGATCGCACATTGCACAAAAAAAAAATCAAGTTCTTCAGACACAATGGCAGGTCTGTAATAGCATAAATATCATTAAAACAAGCATATGAAATTTTGCATTGAGTAGTCACACAATTAAGGGAAGATAAAAATTCATGCCAGTATACCAAAACATACCAAAATTCGGCCATCTCACTTGTTGGAATCTGCTTTGACAATAATTCATAGAATATCCTCAATGGCTCTCTCTGTGAATAGCAATAGACTTCTCATATAAGATGAAAGCTTTCACAATGTATTTACTACCTATAGAAATTAAATTTGCAAGAAATAGCTATGTAATCGACAATAGAAGACCTCTTCAGGAAGATCATACTTCTGCCCAGGCAGAGTATAGACTTTTTTTGCAGATTTGACCTTAACTGCTGTAGTAGTTGTTGTGGTAGCCTTTGAGGTGGTTGTAATTGCCTTCCCTTTCACCTTCATTAAATTGTTTAAATTTACAGTTTAAACACAACTGAAGGAACCAAAAAGGATAAAACTGAATTAATGGACAAAATGAATCAATCAATCCGTTAACATCCCTAAGAGACTGTTTGTTTCACTGTATGATGTTTATCTTTTTATCAAGAAATGTTAGTTATTTGCTATGCTGACATACACAACAAATAAAAAAAAAAAAAAAAAAGATTGCATACTAATTCAATAAACTCTATATGTCAGCTGATTTCGGTGATATATAGATTGTACATTCAATGTCATCTAAGTCGAGTCATTAAAGTCATAAAACTAACATGAAGTAAATTCAGCAAATAATTATCAACAACAACAACAACCTCAAGTCTTTATCCCACTATGTGGGGTCAGCTACATCAATCATTTTTCTCTGTTGTGCCCTGCTAAGAGATAAATTTTCATTTAAATCTAATAAAGAAATATCATTTCTAATATTTTCTAACCAAGTCTTCTAAGGTCTACCTCTACCTTTCTTAACATAAGCCAAATCTACTACATCTACTCTCCTAACCGGGTCATAGGAAGGCCATCGTTTTATATGACCAAACCATCTAAGGTGACTATCTCTAATCTTATCTGCCATTGGAGCTACTCCCACCTTTTCACATATATGCTCGTTTTGTATCCTATCTCTAAGAGTAAAGCCACTCAGCTACCTAAGCATCCTCATTTCTGCAACACTTAACTTAAATATCATGATTCTCTTTTAATGGCCAACATTCTGCGCCATAAAGCATTGTAGGTCTCACCACCTTCTTATAGAATTTCCCCATAGGTTTGAGGGATACTTTTCTATCACTCAATAAGCCCAATGCATTCCTCCACTTCAACCATCCAACTTGAATTCTACTAATAATATCCCCATCTATTTCACCATCACTAAGCAAATCATCAACACTTAAACCAAATTCATTGAAATCTTTAACTCATCCCAAGAACTATTTTTGTCAAGTTGTCTATCATCTTGCCTTTGGGCATGCTGAAATTGGCCCAAACCTTAAGTTGCCAAGAAAAAGGATATACTTATACAAATTCACAAGTCATCGATAAAAATGATATAATCACCAAATCGCCTAAAACTACTCACCAAATTAGAATGAAATCAACATGATGGAACTCACCAAGAGAAACTCTTCCTCCGGAACAGGTTTTCAACTTGGCATTTATCAAACATTGCCTCTAGTACTTAAACAACCGTTAGCCGTTAAGATGCAAGACATTTTCATATCAAGCTTTATCAAACCGTTCTATGTAAATTTACCTATATGTTAACCTATGTATAAAAAACAAAAAAAGAAAGGAAGAAGAAATCTAGCGTGCAAACCTTGCAACCGTTGGTTCCAGGAAATCCTCCACAAATCCTGCCCGAAATCCCGCCGAATCGCTGTGCAGTCGGCGCCGTCCCGGGAATCCTGCGCGAATTCTGCGATCCTCTCCTCGATCGAGCCCCGTTCGCCTCTATAAAACGAAGCCGAACATTCTGCTTCTCCCATTCGCTACTCTCTCGACTTCTTCCCACTGCTCTCTACGCTCGACTCCACACGCAGAAACCCCTGCTTCCGTCGCTGCTTCCACACAACCGACGCCTCTCAACCTCACGCCCGATCCCTCTCTGCTCCCGACCACAGCTCCTCCCTCCTCCCTCCTTTCCCGTCACTGTATCGACCCCAAGCCGCAGAAAGAGAGAGAGAGAAAGAGAGGAGGGAGCATTCCACCTACCTGTTTGGAGCCCTAGCTCACCCGACACCTCTGCCTCCCTCCGACGTTGTTCCCTCCTGTTTGGATCGGAAGTTCTTCCATTTTGATCGGAAGGAGAGACGGGAGCTTGCTGTGAAGGTAGCTATCTCCCTGTCGTGCGCCTCTTCAGCCGAATCGTTTAAACAGAGAGTTTAACTCTCTGTTAATAAGATTTGTGATAGATTTTGTCCAAATTTTTGTTCAAATCCTGCTTAAATCCCATCTAATTAATTATGATTATTAATAATTATTTGTTGTTAATCATAAATAATAAAAAAAATTATTATTAATTAAGATTATTTTCAATTAATTATATTTAATTATTTTTAATCTTAATTAAAAATTATTTATAATTGTTTATAATTAATCACCATTAATTATAAATAATTATGATTAATTATTAATTATGATTAATTTTAATTAATTATATTTAATTATTATGTTTTATCTTAATTAATAATTATTTATGATTATTTATAATTAACTACTATTAATTACAAATAATCATGATTTGTTACTAATTATAATTAATTTTAAATTAATTATATCTAATTTCTCTAATTGATTATTATTAACTATAATTAATTATAATTAACTAGTTTAATTATATTTAATTAATAATTAATTATAATTATTTATAATTTTTTTAATTAATTATAATTGAATTAAAGAGAATACCTCTCTTCCTTCCTCGATCCACGTGCCAACCTCTACAACCCCGCGCAGGTATAACCTTTCTAAACTCTAAAACTTCGAGATCCCGCTTTCGATGCTTGCAACGCGACCAAACGACCACCTATACACGCTTTTCTCTAGCGTGGTGGGAGGAAGTTTGTCGCGGTGTTTTCAACGAATCGGGTGATCACCTAAAATCCTGTTCTCGACGTGCGTGTCGAACCGGCAAACCGCCTATACAAGCTTTTCTCTAGCATGGTGGGATGGGAACCCGGTGCGACGCATGCGACGAGATCGGGATATTCATAAGTACCCGCTTGCGGGGAAACAACTGCTTTTCATTCA